TGTGTAAATCAACCCCCAGATTTTTGCGTGCTTTATGGGGGCTCCCCCACTCACCAGGAAAGGGCCCTCACTCTTTTACCCCTCCCTCCAAGACACCTCAAGGGCAACCCCGTTTCTATGGTCTTGCCCCCGGATCAACAGGGAATAAGACAGGAGCGCTGGCGGGACATAAGCGGAAGACTGTGTGCGAGGGGTGCTGTAATCGGGACACAGGGATGCTGACATATTATTGTTGCCCTGTTCTGGGATGTGAAAACGCGGAACCGCTCCGGGGCTGGTGATACAAAACCCCCTTCCTGCGGGGTCTCATCCAAGTACAAGCCAAACTACCTTAGGCTCTATCCTCAAACATCACTTTACCCGGGAGAGCAACTGGAGCAATGCCTGGGCCCCAGGTGGGCTGCAGCAGTATACCTGGGGGTTAAGACTCTACCAAGGCGAGGGTACTGATCCTTGGGTTCTCTTTTTCTAATAGAATGTTCAGAGTAGAAGCTTATAACCTTGGGCCAGTTGGGCCAAACCTTGCTATTACCCAAACCCTGTGTACTTCTGTGTTGCTTTAACTCCTGCCGCATCGTCTCCGGGTGTGCCGAGGCTATGTGTATGTTGTTATGGTTTTTATTGTTCTCTTGTCCTTGTCGACCCTAACCCACGGCGCCCCTGGGGTTACCCCGTGTGGTCGGGCTTTTGGTTGTGTTGGTTTTGTGGTCTCCTCCTCCCCACACCGCTTTTGTACCGGGGCCCCCCTAAACTCCAGTGTACAGGTCACGGGGCTGGGGTGGAGACTAGCTGCAAGGTGGCCTTTAGCTCCCTAAATGTAACACTGATCCCACCTTAATTTAAATCTTTGTTTGCTTGTTGTGTTCTACGCAGTAGGGAGCCACCCTATTATGAAGGAGGGTTGCTTTTTCTTTGGTAAATACACCTTCCGATTCTGTAGTCGTGTTGTGTCGTGTGTGCTCTGTCCCCAACTCCTGCCTTTTTTGGGGAGGCAGGGATAAACTAACCTTTTTTTTAAGTTTCAGGTTTCTTGTGGGAGGCATCTGTATAGGATATTGTTCTATATGGGACCGTAGTTCCTTGCCTCTGAAATGAAAAAGAAGCGTTTTTTTTTTATTCCCCTCCTTACAGGGGAAAATAGTTTACTTAATTCCCCAAAGGGCGGGTCTGTGGTGGGGCTTGTAGTACTGGGACTCACCCTGCCCCTAGCGACTCAAGCCTTCAACAAACATCGAGAACTATTCAATATTGTGTTCTTGTCCAGCTAGTTCCCACCATCATGTACTACCCAGATGCCACATTTGAAAGTGAGTACGACCCTCACCCCTCATCACTGAGGGAAAAGAGAGAATTAATATCTCTGACCCTAGCCACACTCCTAGGTCTAGGGGTAGCAGCAGGGGTAGGGACAGGACTACAGCCCTCATCAAGGGACCCTCCTATACTAGAAAGCTTGAGATGGCCATAGATGAAGACTTAAAAAATATAGAAAAGTCCATTACCAAACTTGAAGAGTCTTTAACCTCCCTGTCTGAAGTAGTGCTCCAGAACAGGCGAGGACTAGATCTCCTCTTTCTAAAAGAAGGAGGTCTATGTGCAGCCCTCAAAGAGCAATGTTGTTTTTATGCTGATCACTCTGGTGTAATAAAAGACTCTATGTCCAAACTCAGAGAAAGACTAGAAACCAGGAGAAAGGAGCGAGAATCACGCCAAGGATGGTTTGAGGGATGGTTTAATACATCCCCCTGGTTAACAACTTTACTCTCCATCTTGCTGGGAACCCTGCTTATACTCGTCTTGCTCCTAACCTTTGGGCCTTGTATACTTAGCCACCTAGTGACATTTATCCGAGAGCAAGTTAGCACGGTCCAATTAATGGTGTTGCAGCAGAGCTATCAACCCCTTGCAAGTAATGAAGACCTATAGTTTCAAGATTAAAACTGTACAAAAGAAAAAGGGGGGAATGTAAGACCCCAAACTAGCCTAACCAGCTCTCTGCTTCTGTAACCACGCTTGCTCTTAGAAAACCAAGACCCCACACCCCTTCCGCCCTTCCAGGAAATAGCTGTTATAGCTGTTACAAGTTCCCGGAACTAAGTGCAACCAGTTATACAAGACAAGACCAGTGGAATTTCCCCACCCTAAACTCCCTAACCACCGGCTGTGGTTTTAGCTTATAAAAAACCCCCCAAGCTTGAAAGTGGCGCGGCAGCTCCCCTAGCTGGGTGATGTTGTACGCCCCAGCGCTGGAAATAAAAAAACCCTCCTGCTCTTTTGCATCAAGCCTCTGGACTCTGAGTCTTTTTGGGCGGTCGTCTCTCTCTCCCAAACGGGCTGTACATTCCTACGGCCCAACACTTTGTCCTTGACCCAGAAGAATATATTCTTCAGCAGCCCGAGCCCCTAACTCTGCTGGTCCGCAAACACATCTGCCATCTGCTTGCTCACCTGAGCTGTCCAAATCAAGATGTAAGATTACTCTTCCTTGGAATATTGCTGTAGTCTGCACCTCAGCTTGTCTCAGCTGTCTCCAGCCCAGGCTGGGGTTGAGAAATCACTGTGTGTGTTTGTGTGTGTACAACCTACTTGTGCACATGAGCATCTGTGTCTGTGCAAATGGTGTGGATGAATGTGAAGAGGATTCCCAGCATGGAGGCTCCGAATATTTCTATCACTCACAGAAAGAGGGGGCAAAGTCCAGGGGTTGCTCCTGAGAGTAGCAGAAGAAACTGAAATTCCTGCACTGAAGTGGAGATGGGCAGAGTTACCCCATTCTGCTGTCAGCACCAGGCAAGAATCCAGGCTCTAGAGAGAAGACTTTAGCCCCGAGCACTCATGAGGTAAACCTAACTGCACGATATTTACCCTGGGGTGTAAAGGAAGAGAAGCCCAATCTCCAAGCCAAGACCCTAGGGGGCTTCCTCAAGAAAGGCCTCCCTCCATGCTCCTCACCTCTTCGGCAGGAGGAATCCCGAAAGTGTAACCATTGCTTGGGTGGGGCAAGGAATAGGGTAGAGAAGAGGGATTCCTTCTTTTTCTTATTTCAGCATATTATGGGAGTACACATGTTAAGGTTACATATATTGCCCATTCCCGCCCTCCCCCATCGAGTAAAAGGCTCAAGCCTGTCCATCTCCCAGACTGTGTACATCTCACTCATTATGATTGCATATACCGATCCCCTCCTCCCCCCTCCCACCTGCCCAACACCTGATAAATGTTATTCCTATATGTCCAATTAGGTGTTGATCTGTTAATACCAATTTGCTGGTGAGTACATGTGGTGCTTGTTTCTCCATTCTTTTTTTTTTTTTGGCATATTATGGGGGTTCAGATTTTAAGATTTCAATAAATGCCCTCCCCCCCCACAAGTCTGAGTTACCAGCATGGCCATTC